GGATCCAAAATAAAAGTTTCTGTTTATATAATATATTTGGGATGGTGCACTGTGTAGATGATACAATGTTATTTTATATATATATATATAAATACACACACATGCTCATATATAAATATTTTATATATAATTCATATTTTTTCTTAAATATAAATGCATGTGTCTATATATATATATATATATATATATATATATATAGTGTATACAAAATAATTACACAGTACACACATATATATTATGTAAACAGAAACTTTTATTTTGGATGCGATTAATCGCGATTAATCGTTTGACAGCCCTATTTACTGTATAGAGATATACATTGATTGTAAAATGGCTGAAAAATGTTGAGATTTATTTATCCCCCAGCCTTAATTGTCACCATTAGTAGTCAAATCTGTGCATGTGTTAATTGAATTCAGATACCAAAACAAATCCTCCAGATGAGTTTTAACAGCGCACATGAAATGCTACCAAAGCATAAAGCGCATTAAGAGTTTGTTTGCACCTTCAGTAATAACATCTGTTGTGTAAATTGAGACTTAATCACAGATTTCCAGTGATATCGTTTCTTTTTATGAGATGCTCAAATGAGGCTTTCATTATCCCAGATGGGCTCTCACACTTAAGTAATATGCCGTCTCGGCACATTTCTAGCCACGGACTCATTTCTCTATGGCCTTGAGCTTTAGTAGTAATGATGTACGAATGGTGTGGCCATCTGTCCCAGCGTGATGTATTGTAGCCCAGAGATGACCTTTGTGGCGAGTGGCTGGAGCTCTTCGGTGTGGGTTTTTTGCAGGACCGTGGCTAACAGGCACTGATGTGCTGCCCTTTGTCAGCCTGACTGGGTCTGACAGGCATGCTGGGACCGCAGGAGTGAAGGGACAGTTAATGTGGAGCATTAGAGTCATGCAGGAAGGGGCTAGAGAGGTCTCAGACCAGAGTAGATGTTGGGCACCTGTAGGTCTATAGAGCTAGAGAATGAGAAGTCTGTCTGTATAGAGTGTATACGTAAAGTACTCAACATTTGAAGTGGATTACAACCTTTCGTTAAAGTTAAACATGAATTTAGAACAATACCCGTTCTTGTCTTAGGACAACTTTGTTGATCACCTTCAAATGTTGACTACTATATAATATTTGTTAGGGATACACCGATATGAACATTTTGGCCGATATCGAAAATTAATTTTTAAATCTGAAAACTGATAACCGATAGCCGAACTTAACCCCGCCACAACATTTGAGGATGGGAAGTTCGGTCTGGACTTGGACTGTACATACACAGTGTGTATCTGAAGTGTCTCAGCTAAAGGAAATGACGCATTATTTATCGGCTTAAATATATCGGGCTTAATTCGATATATTTAAATATTCGATATATATATATATATATACATATATATATATAACTTATATATATATTATATAACTTAAATATATTAAATTATTTTTGTCATTTTATCAATTTATTAATGGCATATTTCTTGATTTTTATATTAATTTTTTGTTTTATCGCTATATATATATATATATATGAAGAGTTCAGATGCAAAAGCCTCTAAATGCCATTTGAAATTTTCTTCTTTAATGATGATTTTTATCAAACGTGTATATTTAAGTTCAGTAATTTCACTTAAATAACAATTAAAGTGAAATTACTGAACTTAAATATACACGTTTGATAAAAATCATCATTAAAGAAGAAAATTTCAAATGGCATTTAGAGGCTTTTGCATCTGAACTCTTCATATATATATATATATATATATATATATATATATATATGTATTCATAGTTCAGTAAATTACTATGCATATAGTCACGTTTGACTATCGTAGGTTCATTATGAATTACACTGGGTTATTTGTGAAATCATCCGAATTATTGGTGGAATTAGGTGTATTATTTACAGGGTTAGGCGGGTTTGAAGGAGGATTAGCGGGTCCACACTCTGATTCTGGTTCTCCAGATGGGACCATTGTACCGCGCCAGGCATCAATAATGCACAGGGAACGGGGTGAAAGAGTCTGTGACATTCTGTCTTCAATAATTCACCAGTCAGCGGGGGACGTATGGGCCCGCCTGTTTCTTTTTCCAAACATCACCCCGTCATGTTCTTTTCGAGAGGGCGCGATGAAGGGGGTGGAAGTGTCGGATGGTGGTCTGTTTATAAAGATGTCACACACCTCCCCTTTGGCCTATTCTTCATCTTGTAATCCTGTTTGAGAGCGTGATGTGCTTGTATGCGTTACAAGACACGCCATGTGTAAGTATGTGAGTTGCGATGGAGATGATTAAATCTGGAATTTATGGGAAAATATTTACCTTTTTCTTTTAACCTATGCTAATTAAAAAGACTAATTAAAAATAAGATGAATTATGAACCAGACCGTTTACTGTTTAGTCTCAATGGAACGTAGCTCATCAAGTTTAAGTACATTTTGGAATTTAGCACACATTGTGAAAGGGATTTCGCAAGCAGCCAATCTGACTGAAATGAGTATCTCTAGTTTACATGTGTCGCAATTGCCCCTGTCTGAGTGTTTATATATGTGGTGTTAATGAGATTTGTGGGATTGAGATGGTAATTAGATGTTGAGTCAGCTCTCACATTGCATTTCTGCCTGATAAGCATTCACATCGGTGGATTGTGTCTCTTTTCTCTGTTTCTCACCACTCTCTCTCTGTCTTTCACTGTCTGCATTACTCACTCTGCTGCACTGACATAGATATGAAAGATCTGACCGAGCTGCCGTGGCCTCCTCCGGTTGGACAGCTGGAGGAGGAGCCCGTCTGTGGCGAGCAAGGTGAACTTTGACCCCTCCTCCTCACTGCTGCCCCGCCAGTGTCCTGCATCTGCCGAGCTCGCTGAGTCGCTTTATTGCTGGGAACCTCCCGTTTGCTTCCCGTTTGATTTCAGTCACTCCCGCTCAGACCTGCTCTCATCACGGTAGCATGTGATGAGTTCATGAGGTCACTTCTGTCCTCCTCCGGTCATGTTTTCACTGGGGATGCACCGATACTATAATTCTACTGATAGCAGTGTTGTAATGTTTACTTAAAATATTAAATATTTACTATTAAATAAAAAAAATAAATTAAATATTAAACTATTATAAATGTAGCCTTGGAAATTGGCTGAAATATACAATTGAAATAAAAAAGAAAGCTAAATGGAAGTATATAAAAAAATACTACAGAAATGAATAAAAAATAATAAAAACACTAGCAAAATGACCAAAACCCTAGCTAAAATTAAAATATAAAAAAAAAAACATTTCAAGATATCACTAAATATCATAATAGTAGCCTATATAAATAATAAAACTCAAATAATTTATCAAATAATAATCAAATAATTGTTTAGCCAATAAATGGCTGATATTATAATTCTAAGCTGTTTTGTCTAAAAAAATTAAGACTAAAATTAATTATTTTAAATACGACAAGTGAATTTAGACATCACAACATTATAACATATTGTTATAATTTCAGTAGAATATGTAAATGAACAATGTTTACTCATTCTCCATGTTACCTGGACCGAGAAATTCACGTTTATTTGTTAACAAAAGTCCGCCAGGATCACGCTGGATCCTCCACTGAAATCTGAAAGCAACTCAACTAAACGGTGACTCCTTAAATTCTTGCACCCAAGTTGACACCATTAAAAAAAGTTTGCCAAGAGGTATTTCCTACTAAGGCTATGTTTACACGGAAACGATTCTGAAGAGAAAACGCAAAATTGACGTTGCGTTATCACTTTTTATTCTGCATTTAGATGAGCGTTTCGGGTGGGAAATCCGCGTGCATATGGTGACGCAAAAGTGTGTGAAATTCAATGTAGTGTGCACTCCAGGCAGCTAGGTGGCAATGTGGAGCACTACCACACAACACGAAGTCCGCGCGCCTGCATACAACCTTCACTGTCAAGCAGACTTTTGCGTTTTTACTCTTTACATGGGATCGTGACGGTGGAGCGTTTTTAAGATTTCCACTCTGGAGGGTAGTTTCACTTTTTTGCATTTTTAAGCCCCAAAAACGTTGTCGCCGTGTAAACGAACGGCACATCCGATTAAATATTTTTACGATTTCCACCCGCGAGCGTTCTCGTGTAAACAGGGCCTAAAGCAAGGTGGTGTTTGACTCTGGTCAAGTGTATCCATAGCAGAGTGGTCGGAGTGGTCCTGGATGGCAACATGCCTAGTGCATTATGGGTGTTGAAGTTTTCCTACGTATCTGACACCAGCCCTTTTTCTTCGTTTTCTCTTGTCAGGTAGCACTGATTTCAAATAAAAAAAAAATTCACCTTTCTATTGTATAGGCTGGCAAGTTTAATTGAAAACCCATTTTGTCATCTGTGAAGTGAGCATTAGATGACGGCAAAGATAATCTAAATGTAAAAATACAACAAATGAGCCTACCTACTGATAAATTACCAATAAGGTACCGATCAATTGTGCATCCCTAGTGTTCACACTTGGTTTGATTGTCAGATCCAAACTTCAGTTGGATTACACAATTGGATTCTGTGGATCAGCAGGTCTCTTTTCACATTGTATTGTTTGGCTCTGAACCCTGGTATGTTTGCGTTATAAATGTGACGCCTTAATTTCCAACAACCCTCCTGTTTTATTACTCCTCGTTGCCCTGGTTTAGACTCCTCCTGCTCTGTATATCCACCATTTTTTTGACCGTTTTAGCCAGTTATAATGCGACAAGCTTTGTTTAATATCTGATATATGGAACAGGATTTATGACCAATGACTATTGTCTGATTAAAAAGTCTTTTGCTCATCCTGTTGTATTCACACTACGCCACATACATTATTTGAAGCATAAAACTAACACTAATATGAAAGAGTTTTATCAATTGCCAGTTTGTTGCATCATTCCTGGTTAGGACTCCATATTTACATTTTTCAAACAACTGTCTTTAATCCCTTTTGTACTTCTGTTTGAGTCTTTTTGTGTCTCTCGCCGTGTCCTTCGTACAGTGCAGTTTGAGGGTGCAGAATGGGACCGTTCCTGTTCTCCTACAGAGCGCCTGAGGTGTTCCAGACCTCTGCAGACCACAGGTAGCATGAAGCTACGCAAGCCCAGCGATCCTCATTCCACGATCGGGGAGAGAGTGGATCCCAACCTCCCCCTGGAGAAACAAGTGTACGTCCAACACTTCGCCACAAACCATTAGAGGTTTGAAGAAAAAAAAAGAGAGGAAAAAAACAGCTAAGCTAAAAAATTCCACAATTAGAATGCTATCCTGTGATGCATCGTGTGGTTTGCTGACCCTCATGTCGTTCCAAACTTGTGTACTTTCTTCTATGAAACATGAAAGAAGATATTTCGTTTTTGTCCACACAATGAAAAACCGTGAGATCCCGTGGGAGACATTTTCAAATATTTTCTTTTGGATTCCACAGATAAAATAAAATGTCATACGGGTTTGGAACGCCTTGAGGGTGAGTAAATGGTGACAGAATTTACAGTTGTGACATTTTCAAGATACTAGCATGATGGTGTCTTCGTGTCACTCTCGGGCCTTTGGGAACGTCAACATAGTGTTGTTATCATTTTATGACTGAGAATATGATTTATAACTGCAGTGTGCATGGTTACTCCCATTAGAAAGTGCAGTTAAGTGCGTCCAAAATATTGCTGTGAATTAGTCAGCTGTTCAGAATACAAAATCCCCCAGACACGTCAACCTCAGCAAGACAGCAGCTGTGTGGTCTCACGGGGGACATGCCACGGCTGTCACAAACACACACGCTCACTTCTCAAAATATGTACAGGTGTCATATCCACACATTTGTAGTGCACCAAAAGCAGTGGTAATTGAGGGTTGTTTGATTTTTAGAATTAAATGACCTGTTTGTGAATGTTAAAAGCAAAATCTGAAAGATCAAAATGAACAATAAATAAAATAGTTGACCATCTTACTAATCAGAGCAGAGTAGACCAATCACAACAGATCGGACCATCTGTCCAATCAGAGCAGAGTAGACCAATCACAGCAGACTGAGCCGTCTGACCAATCAGATCAGAGTAGACCATCTGACCAATCAGAGGAGAGTAGACCAATCACAACAGACCGGACCATCTGACCAATCAGAGCAGAGTAGTCCAATCACAACAGACTGGACCATCTGACCAATCAGAGGGAGTAGATCAATCACAACAGACTCGACCATCTGACCAATCAGAGCAGAGTAGACCATCTGACCAATCAGAGGGAGTAGACCAATCACAGCAGACTGAGCCGTCTGACCAATCAGAGCAGAGTAGACCAATCACAACTGACTGGGCCATCTGACCAATCAGAGGAGAGTAGATCAATCACAACAGACTCGGCCATCTGACCAATCAGAGAAGAGTAGACCAATTACAGCAAACTGGGCCATCTGACCAATCAGAGAAGAGTAGACCAATCACAGCAACCGGACCATCTGACCAATCAGAGCAGAGTAGACCAATCACAACTAACTGGGCCATCTGACCAATTAGAGGAGAGTAGATCAATCACAACAGACTGGGCCATCTGACCAATCAGAGCAGAGTAGACCAATCACAGCAGACTGGGCCATCTGACCAATCAGAGAAGACCAGACCAATCAAAGCAGACTGGGCCATCTGACCAATCAGAGCAGAGCAGAGTAGACCAATCACAGCAGACTGGGCCATCTGACCAATCAGAGCAGAGTAGACCAATCACAGCAGACTGGGCCATCTGACCAATCAGAGAAGACCAGACCAATCAAAGCAGACTGGGCCATCTGACCAATCAGAGCAGAGCAGAGTAGACCAATCACAGCAGACTGGGCCGTCTGACCAATCAGAGAAGACTAGACCAATCAAAGCAGACTGGGCCATCTGACCAATCAGAGCAGAGAAGAGTAGACCAATCACAGCAGACTGGGCCATCTGACCAATCAGAGCAGAGTAGACCAATCACAACAGACTGGGCCATCTGACCAATCAGAGGAGAGTAGATCAATCACAACAGACTGGGCCATCTGACCAATCAGAGCACAGTAGAACAATCACAACATACTGACCATCTGACCAATCAGAGCAGAGTAGACTTATTGAACCGTTTCAGACGCTGTGAGAAAGAGGTGATGCTGCAATGTATATTATGGGAAAATGTAAGTGTTTTTTGACCATGGATGCATGTAAACCTTTTGTAGGAGATGTCCAAAGCAAAATTAGGAACCTTTAAAATAGCACAATAGAGCCATTTTAAGACATCTATATGGTAATTTTGTTTATGATTTGCTAACCTCTTTGCCTGTGAAATGACAATCAAAACGAAATACAAATTGCTAAATACTGGATAGCTTTTGATGTGTACACATCCTGTTTTTGACATCACATCATGTTGTCCTTCAGATGGTATCACGGCTCTCTGTCGCGCTCCGAGGCCGAGTCTCTGCTGACCCTCTGTAAGGAGTGCAGTTATTTGGTGCGAAACAGCGAGACCAGTCGCTTGGACTACTCCCTTTCTCTGAGGTACTGTACAGCCTTTTATTTCTCCATTCCCTCCATTATCGTTAAATGAAATGAGCAAATCTCTTCCCCATTACCCCATTCCAGCTAATTGCCTTGTGTTTTGCTTCATTTGTGTCTAGTTGTCTGTATCTTAGTTGTTTTTTGTTCTTCATTCCCACCTACATTTATTTTTTTCCACTAATATTTTCATAGAAATTGCAATATAATATATTAATGTAATAATATTTCACTTTAATAAAATATAATATATTTTATTCAATTTGTGTATTTTATATATGGATACCTTACATTTATTTAATAAATTATAATTTAATTTAAAACATGCTGTTTATTAAAAGGTTACATTTTAGATTCAAATTACAATTATTAATAATTAATTTTTTTTTAGCCAATCAGAGTCTTTATCTGCTTTCATGTGACTTTTTGCCATCAGTGCATCTCGCATAGTATTTGTTTTTCTATTATTTGATTATACTGTTTTTTTTTTTCTCATCATTTTATTTTAATTTAAGTTTCTCCTCCTACAAAACGGCCCCTGCCTCATTTGCACACTGATGTGCTTTTCGATAGGCTATCAGCTAGTGCGATAATGCTTATCTGGTCAAATCTTGCGGCTCTAATTACTGTCTTGATCCAGAGCCCCTGGTTCCCCTCCTCTTTCTTCTTTTCCTTTTATTCTCCCTGAGCTGTAATCAGGCAGGTGAACAGCTCTTCAGTTCACAAAAGCTGTTCCTGCCAGCATTAATGAATATGAATGATCCCGCAGACACAAGCGGGGAGGCCTTTCACACACCTGAACACACTCGGTAATCACACACGCCTTGTGAAGCAAGTGCGCAACTGCACACTTCATAAGTCACGGGCAAAAACACTCCAGAACAGGTTCAACAACACTGAGATTTTGTTCACATGAAATCATATTTTTAAAAATCCGCGTTCGTACGACAGCATCCGACAACTGTGGGAATGAATGAATGAACGGCGCTGTCTGATGTCATAATGCTGTACGCCAGCGGCCTTTGAGGCCTGATCCAAATCAAAGTGACAGCAGCTCAGCATCGAGAGCTTTGAACGAGCCGCCATTGAGATTCACAGGCTTTTCCTTGAGCCCAGATCCTTCTATAAGTGACTCTGTTCGTCACGTACCTGGTAGATAATACCTTTTTGGAGACGACGAGCTCCTTGAACGTGTTAAGTCTTGAATTTTAATGTGCTGCTTCAGCGCTAGCTTGATTTTTAAAAGGGTGAGCAAGATACTCTCAGCCTCCTTGTGTTTTTATTCACACTTATTAAAGTGTAGAGTGTAATGACAGCCTCAAACAAACCAATCACTTCCTGTATCTATACATAGAAATCCAGCAGTTTGGACTGTCTTAAAGGGGAGGTCTGGTTAACATCTGGCCGTGCTGATGTTATTATATTCTTAAGACGGGCGCACACTGTGCTATTTATAATAGTCCTTTACAATTGTTGCTTGTCAGACTGCACGAACATCGACTGTAAGCCGTGTCACACTGGAAGATCTCAGTTGTCATTAATGTCAGACTGTACCACAGTCGAGACACGTGAAAAACTGACACACGCAAGTGTTACATCATCAATCAATGGTACGTTCGGTGATGTGAGATGCATTACACACGGTATTTAAAGGAGTAGTTCACTTTTCAAATAAACTTTTGCTGATATTTTACTCACCCCCATGTCATCCAAGATGTCCATGTCTTTCTTTTTTCAGTCGAAAAGAAATTAAGGTTTTTGATGAAAACATTTCAGGATTTTCTCCATATAATAGACTTCAATGGGAACCAAACGGTTCAAGGTCCAAGACAGTTTCAGTGCAAACTGCAAACTGTTCAAAGGGCTTTAAACGATTCCAGACGATGAATAAGGGTCTTATCAAGCGAAACGATCGCTCATTTAAAAAAATAAATAACTAAGTTTAAGTTTTATAAGCTCAAATGGTCGCCTTGCTCTGTTCTGTTCTGTTCGTTCATTTTGATGAACGAGTTTGAACAGGAGAGTCACGAACGCACATCACAGAACAGAGCAAGGCGAGCATTTGAGCTTATAAAACTTAAACTTTGTTATTTATTTATTAAATGAGCGATCGTTTCGCTTGATAAGACCCTTATTCATCGTCTGGAATCGTTTAAAGCCCTTTGAACAGTTTGCAGTTTGCACTGAAACTGTCTTTTGGACCTTGAACCGTTTGGTTCCCATTGAAGTCCATTATATGGAGAAAAATCCTGGAATGTTTTCATCCAAAAACCTTAATTTCTTTTCGACTGAAGAAAGAATGAAATGGACATCTTGGATGACATGGGGGTGAGTACATTATCAGCAAAAAAACATTTAAAAAGTGAACTACTCCTTTAAATGGTGGCTATAAAGAAATCTGTAATGTTCATTTTGGTCATGGCTTGTCTTGACAAATAAAATTTGACGGTCGTCGTAGAAATCACACTGCAGGACTAGGAGTCAAATCTTCTAACACTGCAGAATTTCATCTGAGGTAAAATTGGATCGCAACGTTGATTAATTTGTGAACATGTCGAACTAACGATCAAGGTCTTCAGATCATAGCCTAGGATCAGAGGAATCTCTCTCAGACGGCCAAATAGTGGCCAAAATCGCACAGTGTGCACCCGGCTTTATACATGACTCAGATTGTCCTATTTATTGTGGGTAGTCTTTTGTTCACCAGTGACCTATATACGAGATTCACTGCCCCACCTAGGGATCATGTTATATTAAAGCTGTCAAGTCATGATAAAATGATTGGACTATATGGATTTTAAAGTCCACTTTTGAAAAAACTTTTGCTTATGATTTACTCAACCCCATGTCATCCAAGATGTCCATGTCTTTCTGTATTCAGTCGAAAAGAAATTAAGGTTTTTGATGAAAACATTCCAGCATTTTTCTCCATATAATGGACTTCAATGGGAACCAAATGGTTCAAGGTCCAAAAGTCAGTTTCAGTGCAAACTGCAAAATGTTCAAAGGGCTTTAAATGATTCCAGACGATGAATAAGGGTCTTATCAAGCGAAGCGATCGCTCATTTAATAAATAAATAACAACGTTTAAGTTTTATAAGCTCAAATGGTCGCCTTGGTCTGTTCTGCGCGTTCGTGACTCTCCTGTTCGAACACATTCATCAAAATGAACAAATCTTTTTCCGAATCATTTGGTTCATTCAACGAACGAAACGAACAAATTGACTTGGGAAAAAAAGATTTGTTCATTTTGATAAACGAGTTCGAACAGGAGAGTCACAAACATGCATCACAGAACAGAGCAAGGCGAGTGTTTGAGCTTAAAAACGTAAACTTTGTTTTTTTTAATGTTTTTATTTAATGATTCGTTTAAAGCCCTTTGAACAGTTTGCACTGAAACCTTGAACCGTTTGGTTCCCACTGAAGTCCATAATTTGGAGAAAAATGCTGCAATGTTTTCATCAAAAACCTTAATTTCTTTTCAACTGAAGAAAGCAAGACATGGACATCTTGGATGACATGGGGGTGAGTAAATTATCAGCAAAAGGTTTTTTAAAAGAGAACATTTTTACACAAATGATGCACGCATATGGCGCAATGGTTCAACGATGGTATAATACAATGGTGTTGGTTTTGTTGAAAGTATTTTCAGGTTTATTTAGAATAATAGTGGTGTTGTATGTTCTTTTTCAGGAGCTGCCAAGGTTTCATGCACATGAAGTTCAGCCAGTGCAAAGATGGCCGCTATATCCTGGGCCAGAACAGCCCTCCGTTTGACACCATCCCTGAAGTGATCCACTATTACACCACACATAAACTCCCCATCAAAGGAGCTGAACACTTGTCCCTGCTCTTCCCCGTGCTGGTTCAGACTCTCTGATTGGTCAGAGCCCTGCAGCGCTAGGGGTGAAAACAGGCGGCAGAGGTATATGACTTTGGTAATGAACATTCAACATATTCAGGCTCCCTCATATCTTTGATTGTACAAAAGCATCTGATTGAGGACACAAACCTTTACATTAGATACTTCAGATCCATTTACAGTTCAGTCCATTTCACATACTTGTTAATAATTATTTTCAATCTCACCAAATGAACCTTCTGTGAACCATACCGGACTGCTGGCAGCGTGACCTTTTGCTCGTCTTCAGTCGTCTGCCTGTGTTATTCTCCACTGGGATGGTGAATTTGCCACTGCTAATGTTTATTGATCGATTAGTTGCCTCTTAGGATGAGCGGACAAGGCTCCGCTCTTTTATAGCTGCTGTAAAAGACATTTCCATGGCCGTTTATGACTGTCGTCTCTTTAAAATTTGTAAAGCCTTTTGGTTCTAGGAAGACCCATGAGACCACACACACATGTTGTTTGGTTGTAGTCCTCGGAAAACTTTCGTTGTCTTTGTTTGACCTCAGCTTTGTCGTGTGGCTGGTCGTAGATCAGTGAATGTTGGGAAATGTTTGTGTTGAGGACAGTAGCTGAAACCCACTGATCAATTGATTGATGTGATGTTTGAATCATGATCACTCACAGAGATGTTCCTGTAATTGGTATATTAGGTCACTGATATAGAGAAATGCTGAAAATGGGTTTCTTTAACTCTTGTTTGTAAACTTATTTCCATGTGTTATATAATAAACTTTCTAAAGAGAATGCTAGTAGTTAACTGATGCTTCAAACTGTATTTTATGTCAGTTGCAGAGAGTTTAAGATATAGACAAGATTTTTATTTATTTTAACATTTGTATTTTACATTATGCAAAACTAGATGGCTGCTAGGGAGTTTTGGTTAGTTGATGGGGAATTCTGGTAGCCTGGATGCCAGCCCGAACTCCGCCCACAACATTTTTTTGGTCGGGAAGTTCGGTCTGGACTCGATCCATTGAGGAGTAATTATGATCAGGCAAGAAATGAACGTTCAAAGAGCGCTTAACTGATTTCCCTCAGAGATGACTGCAGCTGGAGAATTGAGATGTATAGATTCCGCTGTCGCGTCTGTTGTGAAATAAATCGACAGCGCGTTAATTTTAATAGACAAACAGAGAACTGCAATCAAGGCATTTGTCGATCGGAAAGCTATTTTTGGCGTCCTTCCAACATGATTCGGGAAAAGTGTAACTTATCAGCTGGCTCTGACGGTCGTTAAGAAGATGGGACGTAATGAAAAACCTGTGGTCGTTGTGGTTTCTCCTTTGGTGGCACTCATGGAGAAGTAAGTAAAAGAAGCAACACTCGTTATTTAACTTATAATATAAAATAAGGAAGTTCTGTAGTTGAAAACTGCGCTATGCAAAGGAGTTGACTTACTGCGCTGCTCTGATTGGTTGTAGGTTTACCGACTATCCAATTGAGTGCAGAGGTTTTTTTTTTTCCTGGTTCGGTTAAGACACGCCTCATAATCGAAGCCCAACGGAGCGGTATCAGACTCATTTTCTTATTAGAAAATGAGTATGACGAATTCAGGCTAGAATGCTGGGCGATTGCTTGGGATTTCAGTGTGATTGATGGGATTTCTCAACATGACATCATGACTTTTGCGTAAACATACACGCTACTTTCAAGTCAAGTGGCGTGTTATCTATACGCATTTTGAGCTATCCGCGTGTATGTGTGTATGTCTACGGCGTTAAATGTCCGAGTGATTCCGCGTGTATAAATGTCTGAGCAAACGAAGCAAAATGTAGATCTACATCTGGTAGGGGATGACTCATACATGCTATTAACCCCAGTGACGGGTAGGTTTAGGAACGGGGTTGGGGTAGGTCATATATTTATACAGTAATGTAACGTTAAGTCAACGGCGTTCATAAACACGCTGAAAAGCGATTATGCGTGTTGATGGCACGCCAAAAATGGAAATACGAATTGGCGTTTCATACATGAGATCAGTCTGGATTTCTGGATGATTGATGAAGAGTTCTGGGCGGTTGCTAGGGTGTTCTAAGTGGTTGCTAGGTTGTTGCATACTGGCATAAGCCAAAAGAGGCACATCCCCTTTGTCTCTATTATCTTCTGGTCTCTAAAAATGGCTTGGGTCCATCCTTCAATTTTTGTCCGTTCTAGAGATAATGAAAAGTCTGATTGCTTAAATAAAGTAACCAGCATGTAGTAACCACAAATAGGCGGTTGCGCTATATGAGCTATAGTCATTTGGTCAGCATTGTTGTTTTAATGTTCTTTTATAAATAAATTGCAATTTTGAGATCGTAGAAAGCACCAGTAGGCAATTTAATTGCTGTAGCTTGCCATGCAAATTATTTTTATAGCTTCACATTGTTTATTATCAAGAGACAGAGAAAATGGTGTTGAGATTGACAGAACGATAGGCTAATGGTTACTATACGCATGTTTTATCCTGGGACCACATGCCACGCACAAAAAGATTGCAAAGATTGAATGTTAAGCACGAGTGTGAACGTTTTTCTTTTCCCATTGCAGCCCACAGAAGGCCGTCTTCCTAAATCAGGCGGTTTGTGTGTTCATGTGTGTGTGCGCTTCCTCATTATCTCTGTTCTGCCGAAGCGAAGCGTTCTGGGATTGCTTTCATTACACTGCCAAATCAAATGGCGGAGAATGATTACTGGTGTGACGGGCGGAGAAGGAGGTTCAGATCAGTCCTCGTCCCTACAACTTCAGTAAGGGAGATGGCGAGATAAAACGAGGGGGAAATTAAGAGTTGTTTGCAAGCACGTTTTTAACGCAATAACATTTTGGTGTGCTACGAGATGTCTGTCACAATTTAGGAATGTGCATATTTGGAAGCAGATGATGATCTATCAGATGAGAGACACCTGCGTTCACGACGGAGCCAGAAATAATTTCACACTCAAACCAAGCCCGAAAACTCGCGATCCCACGGCGAGTGGCTTCTGTGTTGGCGACTGGTAATGATTGTTCCCAGCTGCTCTGACACACATCAAGGCATGTCCACATGTGCGTCTCAAGCGCCTCGTATCACATTGTCCGAGACAGACACATTAATCTCGCTCAGACATTCCACAAACAGGCACGCACTCACTCTTGGAGGGAAAGCCTTTTCGACAGGTGTGTCTGGTAGACTGTAACCAGAGATCGGTCAAAATTTAAACAGCTGAAACCGTGGGCTCGTCTACTGTGTCAATACCTCAAAAGCCCTACGACGTCTTCCTCATAATGAACGCCGCGCTAATTCCTCTTGTAATTAGGCTCTTACTAGTCATGGAATAATTAGGCCGTACAAAGAGAGGCATTTCTCAGCCGCAAGCTTAGACAAAAGCCCAGCAGTGAAATGGGGGGGTAGATGTGGGAAAAAAATCAGGGCTGCCGTCATCATCGTGTTACCGGTGCTCAAGCAAGGTGTCATCTGGATTTCATTATGGTCAGGACTGGCAACTTATACCATCTGTTAATTTACTGACATCTGATCTTTGAACTCTCCTCCTGCCTTTGTGGGCAGCTGGCCCAGATAAAGTCCTCATCTTGGAGAGCTTATCTCCTAAAGCCCCGTCAGATGCAGCTCGCATACGGCTGCAGCTGAAGGCTATTGTAATGAATTGAAAAGACAGTGCTCTGGGGGAGGATTGAATGTATCCTCGGCTCTACTTCAGAAGATAAGGATAGATGATCCTCAGATTTCCAGGTCTCATAATAGTAATTCAGGTGCACGTATGATGTGATTAGGCCAAATAGGAATGCTCCTTGGTTCGATATCCCTGGTCCTGAGCCAAGAATCAAGATTGATATCAAACAATCATACTTTATCGAACTTACCCTTAAAAGCAAACGGGTAATGGTTCTTGCACGACTTGGTTAAAACAAAGTCTGAGCTTCACAAGTGAGTTATACACTTTGGGATCTCACTGGTGGAAGAATACATATATTTAAAGGAGTTTTAAAAAAAAACTTTTGCTGATAATTTACTCACCCCCATGTCATCCAAGATGTCCATGTCTTTCTTTCTTCAATCGAAAAGAAATTAAGGTTTTTGATGAAAACATTCCAGGATTTTCTCCATATAATGGCTGTTCAAGGTCCAAATGAGAGTTTCAGTGCAGCTTCAAAGGGCTTTAAGCGACACCAGACGAAACGAAACGATCGGTCATTTAAAAAATAAATAAAAAAGCTTACGTTTTATAACCACAAATGCTTCTGTGAAGCGCGTCCGTGACTCTCCTGTTCAAACTCGTTCATCAATATGAACAAATATTTTCGAGTCATGACTCGAAGGGTCCTTGATAAGACCCTTATTCATCGTCTGGTGCCGTTTAAAGCCCTTTGAAGCTGCACTGAAACTCTCATTTTGACCTTGAACCGTTTGGTTCCCAATGAAGTCCATTATATGGAGAAAATCCTGGAATGTTTTCATCAAAAACCTTCATTTCTTTTCGACTGAAGAAAGAAAGACGTGGACATCTTGGATGACTTTGTCTTCCAAAAGCGAATTGTTGTTGTTTTGGAGCACACTACTGTAGCTTATAGATAACAGTAAGGATAAAATATTCATACTAAAAGCCAAAAATCTTCTATTTTGGTTTCAAGGGGACTTGAAGACCTTGAAAAGCTGGTTCAGTTGGGTTTAATTAGGATTGGAGCTAAACTCTGCAGGAAGATTACCCTCCAGGAGGATTTTATTTGTACCTTACCTACCTCATAAAGAACTAATATGCTATATTTAAGGGTAGATAAGTTGCAACAGTGTATTTTTGCAGGCACTGCCCCAAAAGCAAGCTAAAAGTACACTTTTTGCATTATTTCTGCAACCATTCATTTTAGTATTGCACCATTTAGTCGATTTTGGGCACCGCTTCGTAGTACTCGCCCTGTCAAAGACGGCTGGGCTTGTATATACAGCTTGTCAAAGTCTGGCATCTAGTCGAAGCATCTTATCTCCGCTTTTATATCCAATTTGGATTGGTCTTGAGGTGAGGGTGCTGGATCCTGCCTTGCACTAATAAGTGCTAGCAAATGGTACCATTAGTTTTGGCGTGATCAACGACAATTTACTCGCTCTCATGTCATTCCAAAGCTGAATCTCTGTGTAGGACAAAATGTTTTTTGAAAATTGTTTCCATGTCTTTGTTGTGGACTTGTTTTGGACTCCATTGACTTTCATTGTCATCTTTTGTCTTCTTCAGAAGTAAATCTGTCATAACGGTTTGAAACGTAAACGGAGGCACGGTTTTAATTTTTGGTTGAACTTTCCCTTTAAGATCAGGGCTCTAGCTAATGATTGTTCGACACCAATCTCAATATCAGGTCTTGATCTAGCAAGCCTGGTCACGGGCTAATGAGGCGGTCCAATTCCAAACCTCGACCAGAAGTGAACCATTAAGAGATTATTATGGCTTCTAGGTCTTGGTCCTGACGCATTTCCTAAGCAACACACGTACACACAAACACCTTCTACCTCAGTCAACCATTGAAAGCTTGTTAAATGTGACCCCTGGTCCCAGAATGGGAGAAAATCAATTGAGTGCTCTCACATATTAGGCACATCCTGAGTCGCTGGTCCAGATGGAGGCATTGTTCACACTGAGTGCAGAGCCAAGCAATGTGCCAGTCTGATGTATTCAGCCACAGAGACTCCTCTCAGCTCTGACAAGCACACAGACAAATGAATATTCTCAATGGTGGCCATCCACAATAGCTCAGTGGTCCGTGCTTTGATCCATTGTGGCAAAGAGCCATTCATTACATGAGGTGCAGAGTGTGTGGCAAGTGTATAATGCCTTACTTTAAAGGATTAATGTCCTCTATGCGGCGTGTGCTTATTTCAAGGACTTTGCGTAAGGCTCATTGTCGTGTGTTGTGGGTTGATGTTTGTTTTTGCTGAAGGTTACGCATTATAGAATCACACTTAGCCGTCATTGCTGTTTGTTGATGTTGAGTCTTCATGACACTTCAGACGTTAGGTGTGAAATCTCTTGACGAACGGATTCTGTGATACTAAGTAACTTATACAGTATATGCCAACAGACATGAAAATGAGTTCGATATGTTTAGCATTTTATTTTTTCCCCATCAACTTGACTGCAAAGATCACGGTGACGAAGAGAGAGTCTACAGCTTAGGGTGGTAAATTACTTGAAATGTCACGCTTGTCAAATGCTGTAAAAAAACATTCTTCAACAAAATGTCACTTGTTCTCGCAATGTTATTAATATGAACTAAAGTCATGTTGAACCTCAATTTTTTGTTCAAATAATGCAAGGAGCAGCATGTCTAAGCAATTCCTGCCTTCCAGTAATTGGTAGAATTACCCGACGCGTGACGTATTGACGAATACAAAAGCGCAAGGAATAGAGAAACTTTTTTTTTTTTTTAAAGACATGTCTTGAGTTTGTTGCCCAGCTGTGAGAGGCGTCTACTCTCACTTAAGCTTAAGGGTCAGAGGTCACTCTAATATAACTAACATGCACTAATATAACTGGTTGTGTTTGGCTGAAAGAAGAAAGTCATATAGACCTAAGATGGCTTGAGGTTGAATAAATTATGGGATGATGTTCATTTTTGGGTGAATTATCTATTTTATCCGTTAAAATTCAAATTCTATCACCAAAATTACACATTTAAACGTTTTTTTTTTCCTTGAAAAAAATACAAATCTACACCCTTGCTTCATTTAGTATACCCGGATCTATGAATATGCAAATTAGCCCCGCTCCACTAACTCCCAACTTACTGAGGTAAACGCTGCCCAATGGTATCACTCTTAACAAGAGTCGGACATAACGCTAATTAAGATGATTAGCCTTAATGTGTTGCTAATGTTACATGAACCATGTTCCCGTTTGCCATCTCAAGAGTCAGACCACTGCGTAATATAATGCTTTGAACAACTTAAGTGGAGAAAGGCATATAGTTCATTGTAATATACATCATACACCCACTATATTTCTTAAATATATTTGTATTATACAGTATATAGTAATTATAATATATTCTTCACTGCACTGACTTCACTGTTTCAGAGCGGACATAGTTAATGATATGCTGAAGTCCGCCGGCACGTACGTACGTGATTGGTTACAAGGTAGTTGTGACGTCAGAAACAACAGCGATTTCAGATTCCGTCTTTGGTTCACTGCAGTTTTAAAGAGAAAATACTCAGCAATGGTCTTGACTCATGAATTTGCGCATGGTTTGTCTTAAAAGCGCATGAAAACACCACATTTTAAAAATGATTTTCACCAAGGGGACTTTAAATAATTGAATTGGGCCAATCTTTAGAGGGTTTAGAGGGTTTTAATGCTGAAATCTGAAGCTTATATTTTTATAAGAGCACTCTTAATTCTTCGGTTTGAACATTTTATTATAAGAGGTTTACTGTCATGGCAACAAAGTTGTCAAATCTGATATATGACCACATTGAAAAGTTTTAAAAAGCGATTATTTGGCACTAAAATCTTCTCAACATGCATATTGTTTATGTCTTGTGGCGGTAATATTGAAACCATACATATTTTAATGTTTACAGATTGGCCTCCTTTGCGAGTGTGTCATTTTAACCCAGGTTTTGGCTCAAAATGTAGTCGAATTAAAGTGCTAAGGGATAGTTCACCCAAAAATTACAATTTTGTCATTACTTATATTTATACAGGGTTGGAAGAAAATTAAGGGTCAATGGGTTTTTTTTTTCTTCTGTTGAACACAAAAAAGATATTTTGAAGAATGTTGGTAACCAGACACCCATTGACTTCCATAGTAGGAAAATAATATTATGGAAGACAGTGGCTGCTGTCAAATGTTTGATTCATTCTTCAAAATATCTTTTTTTGTGTTCAAACTCAAGAGGTTTGGAAATTTACAATTTTTGGGGGGTGAACTGTCCCTTTAAAGCAAGTTGTCTACTGATCAAATATAGCACTGCAATGGGTAGTATTTACTGCGGTATAGCTCAAAGATTGATGCCATTGATCATGATTTTTTGCAGGCAAAGACATTTATAATGAGCCTACCAAACAAATGTAAATTATTCTGCTTGACTATATTCATAGACAAAATGTGTGTCCATTGGCTTCACATTATTTGCTCTGTGGCGCAGTCTGTTTGACTGTGATACTACAGCTCCCTCTAGTGGTTATACACACTTTACAAGTGAGTTTTTTTTTCACACTAACATACATGAAACTGTCAAAACATTTAAGTGTTTATATAATTTAGCAAGTACTATTGGGGGAAAAAAAAGAAACAATTTCAAGACATTCACAACAAAACCACGTCATTCTGCCATCTAAACCGATCCACAGAATATTAACCGTAAACATCCACAGTCTTCTTTAAAGCACTCACTTTGTGTAATAAGAATAGCAAACTATTCAAAACGTTTTTGTCTAGTAATGAACTGTGAGAATATGTTAAAGCACTATAATAATAATAGCTATATAATACTGTTAAGGTGTTTCCTTCATGAAAAGCTAATATACCGTTTTACAAATTGGGTTATTTTGATAGAAAAAATTGCACACTTAAGCTTTTCGAGTGATTACATTCTGTAGTGGCTGTAGTGTTATGTGCAATTGCACATGCTCAGTTTCATAAATAGAAGTCAATTCAGTTTGTGTTTCCTTTGGTCAGCATTGTTCAATCATGCTTTGATAGTACCTTTAAAATCTCTTTGTCTTTTGTATGAAAGCGAATCCAAGTTTTGTAATCCTTAGAGTGCTGAAAAAACTACAAAAAACAACAACTACAAAACAGGAACCATGACCAAAACATCTCGCTCTTTTGTGCTGACTCCCATAGTCTCAAAACTTCCCCAACGAGGGAAGCGCGCCAGCTTTAACCAGCACCGCGGACAGTAGGTCCCCTGGCCCTGAGACTGGTTGAGACGTGTCCCCATGCTGATGATGGGAGTTAGTTGGGGTAGGAACTTTGCTTCGCATCAGGGAGGACTTGGCTGCGCCGGCCATGCTTGACTTGCTGTTCTCCGCGGTTGCGATAACTATTCCCGGCAGTGCCGCCCCTGCCACCGTAGGCATAGAGTCCAGTGGCGTCTCGGAACAGCAGCAGCACAGCACTCGTATGAACGCGGCCCGCATCTCGCGGCTGGAGAACGTGTAGATGAGAGGGTTGAGGGCGGAGTTGAGCACGGCCAGGGCGATGAACCAGTCCACCTGGTACAGAACCGGACACTGCTCTGGACTGCATCCCACATCCAGCAGGAGTAGCAGAAAAAGAGGAGCCCAACAGGCCACAAAAACCCCTAGCACTATCACTACGGTGCGCAAAAGTGCGAGCGAGCGATCCGACGGCCGAGAGCTCACTCTACGGCCGCTGGACGTCACAAGCTGGTAAATGCGCACGTATAGCACCACGATCGCCGCTAGCAGGGCCGTGAAGACACTGATGCAGAAGGCTATGTAGCTTTTGTCGTACAGCGGTAGGACAGTGGAGCAGGTGTGGACTCGGTCCAAACAGTTCCAGCCAAGGCTGGGCAAAGCGCTCAGCAGGATTGAAACGGCCCAGCAGGCTCCAAGGAGAGCTAGCAACCTCCCCCGTCCTGCGGTCTCGCACGGGCGCAAGCGAACCATCGTCATGTGGCGCTCGATTCCGATAGCGAGCAAGCTGAAGGTTGAGGCGCTAAGCGCCACAAACATGCTCCCCTCTCGCAGAAGCCACTGGCCGGGACTGAGGAAATAAGTATTTCGGCCGGAGGTGAAGATGTTGACCACGTACGCAACTCCAGCTAACAAGTCCGAAAGTGCCAGGTTGCCGATTAGAAAGTACATGCGGCTGTGGAAACGCTTGTTGCGCCACAGCGCCAGTAGTACGGTGATGTTCTCCAATACAATCAGAGCACAGATGCAAATCAGGAAGACTGTCTTGCATGTACCGGCGGTTTTTGGTCTTCCCCACTTGCCCGAGTGGTTGTAGTGGTTAAATATGATTTCATTCATTCCAGGTTCAGGCTGGACATCCATTTTCCACACACTCGCTCCACTCTCTTGAACAGCAGATGGCGTTTATGAGCAGCTTCCAGTGAGAAAGTTGGAAAAGGGATCCACCACTTCACACATGATTCTTGTAGGACCTAATGCCAAAAACAGGGCAAAGAAAAAGTCATCTGACTTGACAACAGATAGTAAGATGTGCAAAAAAAATGTGGTTTAATATGAAAACTATTTTGCCAGTTTGCATATGTTTATCAAGCAAACCGTTTTATATGTATGAAGGAGGGTGCGTGGGTTATGTGGTTTTAGTCTATGGAATTGTAGAGCTTCTCTGGTGGTCTGTGTGCTAATGCGAAAGGTCATTTTTAAATCATAATAAATTATCTATCTATTTATCTTTCTATCTATATCTATCAATATTATAGTCTATTATTAGTGATTTTTTTATTTTTCAATAATTATGTATTCTTCTTGGTTAGTTACCACAGAATTAAGTTAAATTTCGCAATGTAGACACACTAAAAGTTCATTTTACCACCAATCCGAAATATCACCATTCAGTATGACTTCCCCTTAAATAATAATGATGTATGTTGTATAACAGTCGGTGTGGTCGTTTATTTTTTGTCGTTATACAGACTATTCTTTAAGCATTGCAACATAGCCCGAATTAATCACGCTGTTTTACGAAAATAGTTTTCGAAATGGCAGTTTTTGTTCTGTGATTTGGTGCTTTAGCATATTAGTCACTACTGTCTTCGAAAAAGCTGCTTATTCAAATATAATTTAATTTGAGTTTGTAGTGATTTGATGCACTAGAATCAATAACGTCGTAGGCTATAAACATTAAAATGATGCCAATAAGACAGCTTTCCTTTATAAGACTTTTTGAGTAATGAAACAGACTTACCTGTTATTTATCTGAGAGATGCACCTACATCTTTTGGGTTACTGGTTAAAAAAAAATCTGGAAAGGCTTAACATGTAGGCTCAACGATCCTGTGTGGAATTTTTAATCCTTGAAGCAATGTATCCGCTTTTCCCGAATCGATTCCCGAACTATTTCCAGGTTTGTTTGTTCTTTGTTGACTCAAATAGATGTGCTGACAGATTATTCATGGAAAATAATTCACCTGCGAGTTCTGATCCTAAACCATAAGCTCGCCTTTCCTCAACATTCCCTCTCATACTGGGCGGGAACTCAACATCACTTCGGGGTTTTTTTTCCAGGCAGCAAAAGGACGTTCCGTCGAGTGTGTTTGGATTCTGAGTTTGTTTGGAAAGGGCGCGCGTGCTAATATCAGACTGTGGTGATGAAACGCGCACGTGCGCGAGCATCCTCTGATGTTTGTGGTTTGATTTTTACGTCTGTCATTACACCCCGTACGAGGGAAATTACTGGGTTAAGTCACGCAGAATGACATAATCCCTTATAAGTCATCATAATGATGACCTCTGACACCTGACTTGGGTGTAAAGGAGTGTTTTACACGAAATGTTCGAGAGAGAAAGACAAAGAGCGCGCTACCAGGTTTGATTACTCATTGAAATATAGTGATTTAGCCAATGACATGAAGTTGAAATAAGTTATGAACAAAGTTTTGAAGCATAGCCTACCACATTTAATTTTACATTTACAATGTAAAAAAGTAGTAAATATAGCAAGCCTTGCATTTTTAAATACAATCAACTTGGATTTTTAAGTCATTTCAACTTACATTTTATTAAACTGATTAAAAAAATTAGTTGAATCTTGTATAACTTATAAAAAGTAAAAAATCGCTTAACATATGTTTTAATTGCTTTAACTCATCAAAATAAAATGTCATAACTTATTAATCATTTTTACAGTGTAGGCTACTTCACATGTTATGATTTTCTTTCTAACTTTTTCTAGACATTTTTATATAGGTAAATTAGAGATTCGAATATCAAAAGGAATCCATGCGATTCTGTGATCTTCAGAAGTCACAAGTCATTATTATTGTTTGCGCTGTCTTTGTGAACGATCTTCAGTCAGACTTTTTCAATGAATATTTGATCCCGTTCACAAAACCGGTCCGAATGAATACCCACAACTCACTGATTCAGTGATCCATATACTTTTATGATACATTGAAAGTTTGAAACCAACTTCAGTCCACGTTCATTTTAATTGCATGTGAAACACTTGTTGTTTCACACCCAGAAGAAAAAAGTTCATAACATCACAATGGTAAGTAAATGACGACATTTCTTGGTAAAATATTCTTTTAATAGGGCATCCAAAATAACTAAAATAAACTTTTTGACCCGCCTCATTTGATATATTGCCTGATGACAACCCAAGGCCCAAAACATTTCCACTTACAACATCCCATATCCATTCTTTGATCAAACATTGTTTGTCATGGTAAAATGGGAAAAGCCATTTTTTCCCTTCCTTTGGGACGACAGGTCATCACTCTCCCAGAGCCTCGATCCATTCAAGACACACTCAAAACCAAACAAAAGTTCTGTCTGGTGTCATATGTGACACAGTTGGCCTAAAATTAGACCTTGACTCTAAATAGCCATACATTCTCCACAATGATTAATAAAAACATCAAAGCTGAACTTAAGCATTTCTCCCTTGCAGTGGACAAACCAGACTTCAAATTCTCACAGTATTCCCAGAGGACAATGTCCAATTTAGCGTTCCAGCTTGGGAATGGTGCATGGGCAAAGGAATGTTTGGAGAGGGGAGCGCTGCATGGACCACTATCACGTTCTCTTGGTTCTGATCTCCCCCACTTTACTTCCATCTGAGTCCAATCAGATGGAAGATCTCAAGTTGAGTGAAGTTAATGTGGGGGGAACGTTAAGTTATACTCTTAAAAATGAAGGTTCTAAAAAACAAGTTTTGCGATGGGTTTTTAGTGCTGCACCCACATCAATCCAGATATATCTGAAAGCGGTATATAAATGCTATATCCTTGTCAGATGTATTTAAAAGTATTAACTGTGGTGAAAATCAAGCTATGTTGTTTATATATGTCTAAGTGGGATTTTTAATATGCTTTAAGACAAACCATGTGCAAATTCGTAATACAGTCTCAACAACACGGTTTGAAATAGCTGGTGTTTCTGACGTCACAAACTACATAACCAATCACGTCAACATGTGATCAGGAATGAGTGGATCTCTGAGCTGGTGTAAGTGAGTGGAGGCAGGGCTAGTTAGCATATTCATAGAACCGCGTATATTAAATGAGGCAAGAGTGTGGAGTTACATTCAAAAGGCTTTTTTTTAAATTTCCTAAAAATCTTCTAAACATGCCATTTTTGGTGATTAAAGGTGAGTTTTAAGGGGTAAAATGGTTGACTATTGGACAGGGGACATTAAGAAGTGGAAGAAATGGCGCTACAAAGTGGTCCATATCATGTTTTGCCGATTATTCTATTGGATTTAACCGCTATTTGCATTTCCAACACATGGCAAAAAAAAAAAAAAAAAAACTTGAATGGCCTTCTGTTATTTGTGAAGTGGTTTTCTGAAACTTATATGGTATAATTGGCTTAATTTGGCTGTTGGAATAATGTAAGTAGTATTTTAAATGGGTCGCATAAAAGGCCTACCCAACTTTAATGCTTTTATGAAAAACTATATGCATATTTTTTGGATCTCCAAAATGAAACTTGTAAACTCACTTGAGGTGGATCATTTAGCCTATTATTCGACAAAAAGAAATGCACAAAGAAACATTTTGTTGTAAATTTAAAAGTAATGCATTGCATACCAGTTACTTAAAAAAAGTAATCTGATTACTTGTGCACTTGTTACAATGTTATGCATTGCCCCCAATACTGGTGATAAGAAGATTATGAGGTAACATTTAAGTGACAAGACTATCCACCATAGGTATCTAATGGGTATAATATGCATCTCATGACTGATAAATAATAATTAATTAATTTAATTAATATAAATTATATTTAATCTATATTTACAGTCCCAAAAATGATGTTTTCAAATTTATCCACTTGGATCAGCTTCAAAAAGCTGTTTTCACTGGACAAAATGCCACGGAAGGTCAAAACAAAGAGAAATATGTGTTTTTATCCAGATTAATATGGATGACGAATGAGTAGTAGATGCCATTAATTCTATCAGAAACATCCGGAAGTCTTTGTTATGGTCGTTGTGTCCTACTTCCACATTTTGTTTAGCTTGGACTTTGGGGAAAAAAGGAGATGCCGTAGACGCTAAGTCCCTTGCGATTTCTCTTCCGAGTAATCAGCATGTCATTTTCGAGGTATGTTTTTACTAGCAACGTGCTAGATTTATTGTGCAGGTGTTTGGTTATGCTTAATATGGGCACTGCTGTGAGTCAAGGCTTCCTGACACTGAACTTAATGGTGAGTTGGCTGGTTTGGAATGTAAAGTTCAGTGGGAACTCAAGGGGTATGTGTTTATGAGTCTAGGAAAATGGAAAATCTCTCGGGCTTTCACCTTTCTGCCCCGGCCCATGCCTCCATCCTAACTTCCCCGAGCCCATACCCATACGCCTGCGCTCAGACACCAAACATCTGGCTTTTGCTTATACAGTAACTTACCACATTTTTTTAGTTCCCATCAATAAAAGCTTCCTTTTCCATTAGTGGCACATCCACGCCACAGCAGAACATAATAGCCTGTTCTCATGATCCTTCAGGGATCCAATAACGTCTACTAAAATTACTCTTTGTAAACCAATCAGAGTCCTCTCAGACACATATCTGCTGATACGAGTGTGAAGAGTATCTTATCTGGCTTTTCCCATTGTCTTATCTACTGGCGTTTGGGGCTTTACTATCCAGATGTTGCTCTAAGAATACTTTTGACATTTGTTGTACCTCCTACAGTCCTATTTAAACTGATTTTTTTTTTTCTACATTTTAAAATCATGCACTTACCTGTACTTAGTGTTCTCACAAGAAAGTACTGGGTAATATACGGTAACTACATGGGTTAAAGGGATACTCCACTTTTTTTGGAAATAGGCTCATTTTATAACTCCCCCAGAGTTAAACTGTTGAGTTTTACCGTTTTTGAATCCATTCAGCCATTTTTTTATATATATATTTAGAAGAATATCAGTAACCTGACAGTTTATGGTCTCATTGACTTCCATAGTAGGAAAAAAAATATACTATGGAAGTCAATGAGACCAGAAACTGTCTGGTTACTGATATTCTTCTAAATATCAGAAAATCAGCTGAATGGATTCAAAAACGGTAAAACTCAACTGTTTAACTCTGGGGGAGTTGGAAAATGAGCCTATTTCCAAAAAAAGTGGAGTATCCCTTTAAGGTTAGTTCAGGGTTTTTACATTGACATATACATCCTTATAAACAACATATACCTTTGTCTACATTTTTCTAACCATAATGATCATATATAGCCATAATGATGCTATTTGAACATAAAGGTCTTTTATCATTGTATGTGTATGGGGGTCATGTGTGGGGTGTCATTTGACAAAAGTAACATTTTTAATCATAGATTTATTTTGGCTTGCACTGAATAAACTTCTGCCCTTCGCTGTTGAAAATAACTTGGATGGCCGTCATGTAAACAACTCCAAATCCACTTTCAAGACAACAGCAAGGCTGGGAATGGCGTTTGAGGGTGGGGATGTGTCCATTTCGTGTTAGATGTCGAGTGTAGAAAAGAGGTCATCTATTAAATCAATCCATCTCTGTCCCTACGGATTGGACCAAAGCATTTGTCTTCTCTGGAATTCAAAAAAATATGCATTTTGGCTCCATATGTCCAAACAAAAGATATTCTATGTTTAGTGATTGTGTGAGACAAGGTCAAAATGCGACTCCCTCAAGGGTGTCACAGAAGGCTGGTGTCTTATTTTGACCTTGTCTCACACTATCAAACATCTGGACCAGTATATCTTCAAACAGCCTGAAAAACATCTTAGGTCCAGTCATCATTCAGTCCTCAATCTTCTTAACACTTCACATTCTCATTTTCAGTAGTCTGTAAGTTGTCAAAACTATTTTTAGTGAAGGAGACATTCCAAGATGTTATTATTCAACTCCCTCCGTCCTCTTGATGTGTATCTGCTGGAAATCCGACAACTGGAGATTGCATATAGACCCTGGATGCATTAAATATGTGACTTGAGGAAATTCTGATGAAGACACTTTGAAAATTATATATATGTAGTATACACATAATAAATCATTTAAATAAATTCATGATTTGTAATCACAACATTTTTTCTTTTGTCAAATCAACTTAAATCATTTATCTGGTTCAGATAACATAATATTTTGAGTTTCTGATGATCAAATCAATCTCCATCTTTGTTTTAACTAAATTTTTAAATTTCAGTG